GTAATACCCCGAAATTTTAAAGAATGTATTTAAATTAATTTTGTGTTAGGTTAATTAATTTTATTTATTTGTGCATACTACATTATTATATTAGGTTCATTTAATTGTGCATGTAAATTAATTGTGTATGTTAAAATAGTAAATTTGTTCATGTAAATATGCATGTATTATTATTAATAATTTTATTTGTTGGTTATGCTTATATTAATCATTATTAGTTAAGTAAAGTATTATATTTGTGTTATATAGTATTATGATGATATAATATATTATTTTGTAATAATAATAATTATATTAGTTTAATAATAATAATAATAATAATAATAATATTAATAATAATATAATAATAATAATTATAAAAGTTTTATTAATAATAATATTAGTAATAATAATATTAGTATTAAATCAAGGTAATGATGAAAAATTAAATACTAGGATAGAATTTCATTTACTATGGTAGAATGGTGGATCAAATATCTTGATTAAAGATAGCATTGTCTTAAAGCCATATAGGTAGGAGTATGAGAAATGGGTGAGAAGTTATTATAAATAAGATATTTGTAATATTTATATTATATATTTTGTATATAAATTAACTAGCTTGCCTTAGAAGAAAATAAAGGGAGTTAGAAGCAAAGTATAAATTCTAGAGAGCTATTTTATAAGAGTGAAAGGAAAAGAGAAAGAGAAAGAAGCTTGGACCGGTGTAGGCAATTTTACCCGACTACGCGCAGACCGGCGGATTTATTTTAAATCCAAAAAGGCAAGTTATTATCTACTTTTCCCCTTTGAATTAATAAATTAATTGTTTAGCTTATTTTTATGCATAGAGCCAAGGTTTGGAGGTTAATAAATTATTAATTTTATTTTATTAAATTAATGGAATTTTAATTATATAGGATGGTATATATTTATTTAATGTCCTATGAAATTAATAATGGCTAAAAATAATTAAATAAGACTTTAGGGATTTTTCTAGAATTTTCTAGATTTTTCCGGGCATTTTCTGCAATTTCCGGCGACCTTCCGGCGAGTTTTCCGGTCGCCGGCAGTGGGGGAGACGACCGGAGTGATCCGGTGCGACGCGGCGCACCATAGGAGGGCGTACGCGCGCATCCTGGCCATTAGTGGAGTCTGATTGATCCGGTGCATCGCGGTCCATGATACCGCGGTACACCCGGATCCGTGGACGTTGGATGAAGGAGATGTAGGTGGATTGATCCGGTGTGGCGCGCACGTAGGAAATCTGATGCAACCGACCAACCAGCACACGCCGCGTCAGCAAGGCACCCCTAGTGCGCGCGTGGCAGTGCGTGGCAGCGCGTGCGCGCGCGTGGGACTCTCCAGACGCGCGTGGGAGCGCGTGGCTGACGCCAGACGCGCGTGGAGGCGCGTGGGAGAGTGGGGAAGGTTGGGCTGCGCGTGGGGAGGCTCTAGGAGGCGCGTGAGGGCGCGTGTGGGGTCCCTACAGCTGCTGGAAATTCCCAGAATACCCCTAGGGCCTGTTTTGTAAATTCCAGAACCTTAAAACTTGGATTTTTAGGTACTGTGTTGGTAATTACGGGTTTAACGGGCCACGAAATTATTATTTTAACACCCGTTACTTATTCTTATGGCCGATTAATCTTTTCTAAGCATTTATTGGCTCGTTCGCAGTACGGATACTAATGTGATTTATTTAAACGACATTATTAAATATAAATAGTGTTATTATCGTATTTAATGGTATCAAACATTACTGTTAAATTAAATAAGGCCATGGTTTTAATCAGATAAATTATCCATGATATCTTATAGGATGTTTATACTGTTAATTGATATATATAAACCATGAATATTATGCTGTGTGCATTTCAGGAAATAAATGGACTGTTTAATTATGTCGCATTTATATTATATGGATGTGTTGCCATATAGAACCATATGAGCTGGCTAATAAGTTTAGACTCATTTATACCTTATGCATTCGTTGCGATAGACAGATGTGTGGCTGTCGGGGTATGTGGTTTAATATTATTGGCATGTGTTGCCTAATTGACATACTCGGTATATTTATTAATATTGTTGGCATGTGTTGCCTAATTGATATGCTCAGTATATTCATCAGTACTTTGCGAGGTGTTATCACTGTGTAGTTCGTTATAGTCTGTGTTGTCAGTACCGTGTACCATGTATAATAGCTGATTTCCCGGGTAGGGAAAGGCGACACTTGACCACCTAGTGTGAGTCTAAGTGATCACCGTCTATTCTGGTTGAGGTCATGTTATACATTGGATAGTTCCCATAGGATGTATACAGATATAGTACTCATCCGATTCATAATGATTAATTTATTTGATTCTCTGATTTGGGTCATAGTAGAGAGGACTTGCTCGTGGGGTTGACCCACCATTGTTGTTATTTCAGGATACGGTCAGTATCCGTTTCAAGGCTGAGGTTAGCAGTGTGGGACCATCATCCAAACTCATCTACTCTTACGATCCAGTGCAGGGTAGAAGTTTTATGTAATACTTCAGTTTCAGTTTTTATTTACTTTTGACGTTGAACTCTCAGGGTTATATTTAGGGATCCCTGACGTAGGATTTCCAAGTTGTAATGAAGTACTGTATTAAATAAAGGATGGATGGATGTTGTATCATTTAATGTTTCTTTCCTGCCTAAATTCTTTTATTTCCATCATTTTGTATTCCATGCTTGTATATTGCCAATTGTTTTTGATATCCCTCGTTTTTCGTGTATAAGCCTGATCAACTTATGCGTGGAAAATGTGGGGGTGTTACAGGACGCTACAACTTCAAGCATACTACTGCTCACTTAGCGAGGCACCTTGATAAGGTCCCTTGGTTCAACCTAGTATGGAATTCCCCAATCATTCATCGGATGAAATTCAACTTGTGATTGGCAGTCCAATCTAGACTGCCAACACTTGACTGCAAATCCATAACCAAATTCCAAAACCTGTGTCCACTTTGCTCCAATGCAATGGAATCACATGACCATTTGTTCTTCACCTGCTCCTTCATCTCGCCAATTTGGAAGTTCATCAAGGACAAGTGTCACTTCTTAACAGTGATCACAAACTGGAGCATGTTGGTGCAGCTGGTAAGTTTCATGTGGAAGTCCAATTCTCCACAAAATTTGGTTAGGAAGATATGTCTCTTTTCAATTGTTTATCACACTTGGAAAGAACGCAACAGTAGAATCTTCAAGAAGGGAAACTGCTCACAAAGAACTCTTCTAGCCAAAATCACTTACTCCATCACCTCAATTCTGAGACTGGGATTTCTAAAGGATTGCACAGCCTCGAGATCAATCCTCTTCGAATGGAACCTCCCTCCGTCGTGCTGCAGACCACCTCCTTGCCTTCCAGATTGCTTGACTTAGCCGTTATTTCGGCTACAAACACTCACTGGAATTCATTCTAGGTGTTCTCATCACTAATGGTCTCGATGACAGTTAATATGACTCACTTTTGTTATTTGAATGGGCCTGTGCCTTGTTACCCATTTGGGCCTGTTTTATCCTTTTTGTATTTGTGCTTCGGCCACAAACTTCGTAAATACTTTAAGGGAAAATTTAAAATATCACTACTTTATTTTACATATTTTAAAAATGGCTAACTTTTACAAAGTATTAAGTTTGATCGCTAACTTTTCGAATCTAATTACAAATTTATACTAAAACACTCTTTAGATATTTTTATGGTCCAAAAGGTCCCTCTCTTAATACCGTTGTTGTCTCTTTCTTTCAAACTCTCCAGTTGTATTGAAGTTAAGATGGATATTTTCATGCTACACATTCCAACGAGCTCCCAAGCAACAGTGAACACTTCGGCGAGCTCAAAACATGCATGGTGTTTCCGGTGATGGTGATCGGATAACAAGCTCCAAGTCCACGAACTTCACACCGAGCACACAACGACGAAGAACTACAGTAAGCTACATCGACCAAACAATAACGTGAAAGCTTTGGCATGTAGTCTCACCGGAAAAACTCCATGCAAAGAAGAATCATCTCTGACAACGACGTGTAGATTGCAGACCATAGTTATTCCGGCGTTGAGAGACCCAGTTCGTACCGGCGAAGACAAAACCACCGGTGAGCTTTGAATTCCATGAAATCCGATGAGACCTGATTAGCAATGCCCATTGACTCTGGCAATACCCAACAACTTGAAGAACATGAACACCAGCGACAGTTCTATGCTTCGACGTCCATAAAATCCCGCAAGACTGGGAAAGCTTCGTTGAACTATACCCTCCATTATTTCCGGTGACAAACTCCAACGGTGGCGATGCCTCTGATCTCCAACGACTCCAAGCACTTCAATGGCGGAGATGCCTCTAATCTTCGTCAGGACACGGCAGCGTTCAAAACCAATAGACAAGGGGAGAGCCACCTGTTTGTAGAAAGAAAAGAGGGATCTTTCTCCCGCAAATACTAAGTAAGATCAGGAACCTTCAGGTGCTTTTGAGTGCTGTACCTTCGGTTTCAGCCTTTTACCCAGATTGACTCAATTGCTGGAATTGGTCTTTACCCAGATCTAGGACTTTACGTTGTAAGTGTAGACGCAGGTGGAAAAGAAGGTCTCACTCGAGGTGCGACCAATCTCACTGATCTTACTAAGCAAATATGAGTTGCAACAGATGGTCCGAGAACGTTGCTTCACGCTACATCCCGATTGGAGAGTTTGACAGACAGAGACAACAATTGTTGAATTGATGTTAAGAGGGGCTTCCGCACCATAAAAATATCTAAATAGTGTTTTAGTACACATTTGTAATTACTTTTAAAAAGTTAACATCAAACGTAATAATTTGTATAAAGTTAGCATTTTTTAAAATATATAAAATTAAGTAGTGAAATTTTAAAATTTTCAATTGCTTTATTTTCCCAAAAAAATAAAAAATAAAAAAATACAAAAGCCCATGCAAAGCTGAAATTTTGTACCACTATTCACATTATCTCAACCCACTATTTGAGTAGGGCAGAGTTGGGATGTGTTACCTGGCAAATAGGGATCCATATATATATATATATACATGTAATCATATTTCTAGGATGGAATATATTAACACTGTTTTTTTATTTTATTTTATTTATATCTATTTATAAGTTAAAGCCAGAGAAAATTCACATAATTACAACTCATGTAATTTTAAATTTCAAAATCTTTATTCCACATAATTAAAATAATTTCAAAATCTTTATTCCACATAATTAAAATTGGTGAAGTACATGAATTTATATAAGCTTCAAAAACATATTTCTAACAATTGCAACTAATATACTCAATTACTCCCACCAAATAAATACTAATACTAACATACCTATAATTTTTTTTTTTTTCCAAAACTAATAAAAACATGTAATCAAATTTAACTTGTAACACAAAATGTGATCAAGTAATTGGAGCCGGAACAGGTAAAAGTGCTCGTAGCATCATCATAAGCATAACTGTAAGCAGACGGGCATGCACTCTTAAAGATCTTCGAGTACTCCGACGGCGAACATGTCTGCGGCGTCGCGTGATCGCCCGAGCAACAGAACTCCGTCGTGTTAAACGCCGCACACGCGCTCTTACACGCCACAGACGAGTCCCCATCCTTCACCTGCAACTCCGGAGGGCACTGGGCGTTGACGTCCGCCGTGCAACCGGCGTACCTGCAGTCCCCGGAGCCGCCGCTGGGACGTATGCCCAAGCCCACATTGTACCCGTCCACCAGGCTCACGTCGTAGAAGTCCTTATCGCCGAGGGTGAATTCAGCCAGCGTCACCGGCGGAGTGCCGCCGCCGGTGCACTTGAGTTTACCGCAATCGCCGGTGGCGCACTTTCCGTTGCCGGAGTCGTCGAAGTTGCACCCGGTTCTAGCCCAGAACCGGCCGGACCACCCGGTTTGTGCCGGGAGCTGGACGGATGCGCCAGGTTGCAATTCGAAGCCGCCATCTCCGAGGACGTCAGCTCCATTGCCGGATAATGTTCCTGGCCAAACCGGGTAGCTGCAATGGTTTTCAAGCGTGAACACAGTGCCTGAAACTGTGGCTCCTGCAATGTGTCATCCGGGAATGATTCAAGTGGGTCAGATTCCGGCGAAGCAGTAATTATATGAAAAACATATATATATATATGCATTTATATACATTTAACTTCTAAAGAAACTTAAGAAAATAAATAGAAAAAAAAAAACTAATTAATTGTTTGGTTACTTAATTGGCAAACTAATTAGAGTGACAAACCAATTGTGTGTGAGAGAGTGTGTATATGAAAGAAATTAATAAGCTTTTACCCAAGAAGAAGAGGGACAGAGGAAGAAGAAGAAGAGAGAGTCTTGGTTGGACCTCCATGATCAGATGGTATGAGGAAAATGAAATAGATGTTAGAGTGGTGGTAGTTGGTTGTGGTATGGGTGGTGGGGAGTTATATATATATAGAACAATTGTATATATATCACAATATTTCATGTCCATTGAAGAGAGAGAGTCACGGCATGTCCAAGAGACATTTTCGCCTTTTATTAGAACTGTGGAGGCGCATTTCATGTTCGTGGTTGGTTGGTTGGTTTTTTTAATTTAAAACAGCCTTTTTGCTTCCTGGATCCAAATCGTCCAACAAAATCCAAATGTTAATATTTAATTGGTGAATATATATATTTTTTTGTGGATAAATAATTTTGTATAATTACCAGAATCACCACACAAAGCTTATTGTGCCAACAGTCACAATGTAAACTACACCTTTTATTTTTATATATCTATATAGTTTTCTGGATTTCTCTCATCTTGCGAATGTGACTATTTCTGTCTCTTTTGCGAATGTAAATTATATGAATCATTATACTTAGGTCGAGTAGTTTCATCTATTAACTTAAATGAGTTAATTAAAATTATTGATGGTTTGAAATGATCCCTCACTTCCCCCAAGAAAAAATTTATTGCTCCTTGTACCATGCAACCAATATATTTGAACTATTCGTGTAATATATATGCTCACACCGTGTATGAACGCTTTGGTGCGTTTGTTGCATTTTTTGGGTTGTGCATCATGCAACGAATGCATCCGAACCGTTCATATAATATATATGCTCACGTCGTGTATGAACGATTGGATGCGCCCGTTACACAATTAAACAGGCTTAATAAAGTTTTTCTCCCACTTCAATGAATTAATAATCTTAATTAATTTACTTTATAAAATTATATTAGGTTACAATTTTAAATTTAATATTTGATACTTTCTTTCCATTTCAATTTTAAAAAATAAAGTATTAATCTGTATCAATAACAATTTATTTATCTATCTATTTATTTATTTTTTGTAGTAATAATATTTTTTTTAAAAAAATATTTGTGGTTTATTCCTTCCGTTTTAGAGGACGGCCCGGTAGTTATTACTAGTTGTTTTCAACCAGCGTTCAGCTCATAAAATTATAAAAAGATAAGTACATTTAAGTTTTAATGACTGAAATTTTTTCATTTTTAAAATTTATGTTAATGTGGTAGATGCCGCCAAATTACTATTTAGGGCCCATCACATTCATATTGTACAGCATTTGTACAACTACAGCCCTATGTATCATTGAAATTTTATACGATGTCGCCGACTTCTACAGACCTCAAACAGTAAACTTTGGAAACCAAAATTATATACACATACTGACATACATATGTATGTATAATTTACATATATAAACTCAAATCCTTACATTCGGCTAAAAGAATTTTGTTATCCAAAACATGAGCTACAACAATTTCTGGACAGGAACTCAAGTAAGGAAAGAATCCTCACAAACCTTAAGAAAAGATTAAACATCATTAAAAATAACCATTAAAATTAGGGGTGAAACTTAGACCGGCTAACCAAGCCTAAAAATTTTAAAATTTAGGCTTTTAAATTCATAAATCGAACTCAAATTGAATTGTTTCTCAAAACCGAGGTCGGAGGCTCAGGCTCAATTTGAACCCAACCCAACCTAATCCAAAATTCAAAATAATAATAAAAAAAACTTAAAGAAAAAAAAAATTATTTATTTTTCTTCTCTCTCTCTCTTCTTTATTTGGAAGGGAGTAGCTACAGGGTCCCAATCGGAGGAGCACCGGTTGAGATGCCACCCTTCGCGGCCACCGGAACTGACCCATGAGCCCACGAACAACAACTCAAATTAGGAGATCCGTTCTTTAAAGTGGCAGAAGCAGCCTTACCCATCAGCAGCAAGCCCCTGCCGTTGCTGGGAATTTCGAGGATCGATCTTTTGCCAGTCTCTGGCGGTGGTGGATTGCCCGATGAAGACCCACTTGGCAGCGACAAAGCGGATCGAGTAGGTGGAAGTGGAGGAGGAGTTTCAGGATGGAACAGGTGGCTACGTCCAGAGACGTTGACCCTCTTTAAAGCCAACTGTATCAGCCTTTCCTTTTTGACTTTTCAAAAATATTACATCAGCTTTTTCAAAAACTAGGTCAGCAATTTCAAAAGCCAAGTCAACTTTCACTCTAATATGCACTTCATCAAGCTCTTTGAATTTTCGCTCTAAAAATAATAATAATAATAATAATAATAAATTAAAATTAATTAATTAAATTTTTTTTTTTTTAACTTTCCTAAATGGCTATATTCGTAGATGAATTACAAAATTCTATGAAAATAAGTAAATGAATTTGTAATTTTAATTATTTTTTTTACAAAAGTAAAAAAATATATATATATATATATATATAACCGTTAAGGCACTATTTGTGTAAGCCAAATAGTGCCTTAACGGCCAAATGCATTGTTTGTGTTACACATTTAAAATTTAAAGCAAAAAAATAAAATTAAAAAAAAAAACAAATTTTAAGGGGGAAAAAAAAAAAAAAAAAAGCTTTTTGAATTTATTTTTGGCCCAAATAATTTTTTTTTTTCCCAATAAACAGTGCCTAAACAATATTTTTTTATTTAATGAATTTTATTATTATTATTTTTTTAAAAGAGCTCAAAATAACCTATTTTTAGGTTTTTTTTTTTTTATTTAAAATAAAATCTGAGGCACTGTTTGGCCACTGTTCTAGGAGCAATTGAATAAAACAAAACTGGCAACCGAAAACGGCGTTGTTTTGCAACAAAAAAAAAAATCAGCGATTGCGGGCCGGCTTGCTGAATACCGCGAGCCAGCCCGCGAGGGAAATTGGGCCCCACGTTTTTAGATAGGGCGCACAACAGCGCCCAAAAGGCCTTTGGCATGCTAAAATTAGGCTTCCACGAGCCCGCTACAGGTGCTCTAAGGTCAGGTCTGAAATGGATGCGGCCTTCCGTGATTAACTATATATGTATATTAATAAATTATGTATTGTATATTAGCTTTATATATATATATATATATATATATATATATATATATATAATTTTCATATTTGTAAAAAAAAAAAAAAAAAAATGAAAATCCATCAAACCAGTCCGACCCGTCTAAAATATTCGGACTGGGTTATGGACCAGAATTATATCCAAAATGGGTTATGGACGACATAACCCATTTTGGATATAATTCGGGTTGACCCAACCCAACTCGATTTCAGGTTGAGGTTAGGTTAGGACTGGGCTGGGTTTGGCCAGCCCAACTTGTAGCCGTAATAAAAATTTCAATAGATACATGAATATTCATCACTGGTTGGCAATCTCACTCCACAATCACATCTTTATACCCCTAATTTTTAACAAGAAGTAGAGATTCACGAAGCATAAGACCTTCAACAAAAGGAAGGCAACTAACATTTTCAAAAAAAACTGAATCCACTTTAATGGGATGTCCAAGGTTGTTCAACATGGGACCTCAATGAATATGAATTTAATTAGGGTTGACCGACCTTATTCATATAGAGTAAAGACGATAATGGTACTAAAACTTAAATGGAGCGTGGATAAGTGGTAGGGCAACCATTTTGTGCTTTCTTCAATGTAAATTAGTGGCTTGGGAGCACTAAGTTAGTGACTTGAAATTAAAATCAAAGGAAATTTAGTTCAAACTTTTTATTAACTTCATCTAAGTCACCAATTCAATACTTCCAAACGCAACCAACCTTCCTTCTACCACCAAGAGCTTTGGGGATATGAAAGTGAGATTTCAAAGTCAATATCTAGAATTTCCTATCATGTTTCCACAAAATAATCACATAGAATATAATTTGGTCGGATTGACAAATTACCTTGATTTTGGTCCACGTCTATTTTAGTTTCTCAGGCTTAATGAGAATATTGATAATTTTTTTTCATAAAGTAACATTTTAATGACGAAAACACTTTAAATAGAAATTGAAAAAAATTAAGTGTATGCTTTGTTTGTAATTGAAAATTCAGAGAACTGCATTTTTATAACTGAATTTTTAAAAAATTGAACCAGTCAAAATTTTTTTGTATAGTTTTCTCTTTTCAGTTTTCGGAAAACAAAAAACTTCTCACAATTACAAGTAGGACTTAAATTTTTTTAAAAATGATTTTCATTTCAAATTCATTTAACACGCCCGTGAAAGTCAATAGTGACATGGGAGGTCAGTGTCATACTTAAAATTATTGAAAAGGTTTTCGTTATTTAAGTAATCTACAAGGGAGGCTAAGGTAATTGTCCCAAAAAGATATATAGTAAGAGTGCCAGAGTGGCAGGTAGACTATATGACGCACTAGATTTTATGCGTTGCACTCCCTAAACATAGCACTCAACAACCAACCCACTCGAACCTTCTTCCTATAGATTCTTTCAACCAATTTTAGGGTAGAGAGAGAGAGAGACATCGCTGTTTCTCTCACCTCATTTCCAATTTTGACTTTGGATCGTCCGTCGGTGGTCGGTCGGTCGCTCAATCTATCATCTAAAGGTCAGTGCTCTCTCTCTCTCTCTCTACCTATATATGTATATATGTTTATATATATAATTCTGTAGATTGTTTCTGTTCTTATATACTTTAATTTCGTATAATCCCTAGATTTCCTTTGTGATCTCTAAGTAACGTATTTTTCTCTTATGCTTTACTATGATTGCACCCGATCTTCAATTTTTGGTTGTTGAATTTGATTAGTTTGTTTTTGATGGGTTTATTTCAGACATTTCTTGTAGCGATTTATTTAACTTTGTTTCTGTAATCTTGCAACGCACATAATGGTCTGATTTTTGTTTGGACTCAATTTGATATATATATGTGTGTGTGTGTGTGTGTGTATAATTTTACGATTATTTTGATGGTGGATCAATATTTTGTTTGGACTCAAGATATAATATATTACCTCATATATCATTGAATTTTTCCTATTGATTTTTTTATTAGTATCAAGTCTTTGTAGGAGTATTTGTGTTCTTAGTTGTGAGAGAAATTTTTGTAATTCTACTTCGGGGGAAAAAAAATTCTAATTATTTATCTCGAGAACACTTGATTCATTTTGTAACTGGTGTTAATATCAGGTTCATATGATCTATAGGGAATTTGGGTTTTCACCATTGAGAGATGGAAAGTGGGTTTGGGGAATCCATGGGCAGGCCACCTCAGGGACCTTCTTGGTCGAACAATAACAGTAGCAACAATGATGCTGGTAATTTTGAATGCAATATTTGCTTTGACTTAGCCCAAGACCCAATTGTAACTCTTTGCGGTCACCTCTATTGCTGGCCTTGCCTTTACAAATGGCTTCACTTGCACTCACATTCCCGAGAATGCCCAGTTTGTAAGGCTCTAATCGAGGAGGAGAAATTGGTCCCTCTATATGGCAGGGGAAAGAATTCGACAGACCCGAGGTCTAAGTCAGTTCCTGGAGTCAACATTCCGAATCGCCCAGCAGGACAGAGACCTGAAACAGCTCCTCCGCCAGACACAAACCCCTTTGCCCAACATGGGTTTGGATTCATGGGGGGGTTTGCACCTATGGCAACTGCCAGGTTAGGGAATTTCACATTATCTGCTGCATTTGGTGGTTTCTTCCCATCATTGTTTAACCTTCAGTTGCATGGATTTCCTGATGCTACCATGTATGGGACAGCTGCCGGTTTTCCCTATGGGTTTTCTAATACATTTCACGGGGGCCATGCACACGGGTTCCCCCAGCATGCAAGTCAAGGACAGCAAGCAGATTATTATCTGAAGATGCTGTTTTTGATGATTGGCGTGTTTGTGATTCTTGCTCTAATTTGGAACTAGATTGAATTTGCTAACAGATATCATATGTGTACTCTTTTTACTTTTTTGTTTCTCTTTTCTGTGCTTGAAAATTTGTCCATATAATACATTGTCAGAACTATTGTAGTTTTTATCAATTTCCATCAGCAGCTTTTAGAATGTTACTTTTTGTTCTCATAATTGTATAATTGTATTGAAAGATGTTTCTTCACAAGCATGTGTTTTCACATGCATGTACACGGGATGAATATATTATATGGCATAGCATGATGCATATGAGTGGCAGTTAATTTTTTTATAATTTCAGTTTCTCTTGGAAATTCAAATTTTTGTTCCCGTCATATGGATTGAATTGTAACTATATTTGAGAATTTGCTGATATGGAACTCGTATTTCCTTTTTCGTCTTTGTGTCTTTTTTGCTTGCCTAGGGGGAGGGTGGGTTTGGTCAAATTGTTTGCCAATTCATGGTGAGGAAATTTTTAATTGTGTGTTATTCTTTTTCTTTTTAACTTCTAAATTGTGTTATGTTATTACACAAAAGTAGACTAATGTTTAGATTCTATCATAGTCAACAATGAACCTAAAGTAAGAGTTTAAGTTATTGCTTAAAATAGTTTCTAATTGCTTAACAGCTTAAGTTATTAAGTGTTGTTACTGTCTTTTTTCTAAATGATGTTCAAAATTTATCTATACATGAGGAAATTCTTTGGTATAAGCAATAGTTGGAGTTGGTAGCAGTCGTGTCACAAGATGTAGTTTCAGTTTTTTTTTTTTTTTTTTTTAATTATTTAATTTTTTTCATAACTTGTTGGGATTCCACTTTATTTAATTTCTCTTGATTTTATGGTTACTGTTAACTTTATTTTTGAATAAATTCACAAAAAGAAAAATATAAATCTGGCATTGGGTGAAGAAACCTGTTGAAAGAGTTTGTAGTCTGCTATGTCCATATGTTATCCATTATATTGATTGTATATTTATTGGATGAAATAAAGTTTCTCATGTTACTTTGTATTATGTGTTTGAAAACATCTCATAGCTGGTTTTTTAATATATATTTTTCTTTTATATATATATATATATAAAAAATGAGGTATGATGTTAGACAATTGATCAAAATTGGGTTCCTAAACGTAATGGTTTAGCCTATACAAATGTCAATCTGTGATGATGAACATTTTGTTAATAAATATGCTGATTGTCAAATTTGTTGAATTCATAGAAATTCTTATTGTAAAGAAGTACTTGATTGCTTAGTGGGTATATACATAATGAATATGATGCAGATTGGATCTCTATCCTTAGAAATAAACCTAAGATTTTTTAGTAGAGGTTGAAGCATAGGAATTCAAAAGTGTCCAAAGGATTTTCATCAAGTAAGAATAAACCGTTAGACTGTACCCAAGGCTCTAGTATTTCAGAGTGTGAGTGGTAACTTTGACCTAGACGGACAATAGGTCATGACATAATTTTGCATTTAACTTACTTTTCAAACTTTCGTTAATCGTTTTTGAAATTCAGTTAGTTAGTTATAAGATTGATATTTAAATTATTTAATTTTCAGTTTCCATAAATCATACTCAACCTTGCATCAAACAGAAATTAAAGTAGAGCACAGACATGAATTTTTACATGGACAACCCAAAAAAGAAAAAACCATTGGATCAGATTGATGAACTTCTCCTTGATGAGCACTCTGTAACATATGATTGAATCTATGGAAATCCTAGATTGAGTAATTTGGAAAATGTTCTCACACAAGCATTTTCTCTCTAGATGATTAGAAACATTTAACACCCTTAGACTGACCATAACTTCATATTTATTTCTAATATAGGAGTTCCATATTAGATATATATATATATAAAATAATAATAATAAATAAATAAATAAATTGTGTTTTGAAAGAGCTAACCAAAAACTGTGTTACTTGGGCTCTTCAAATATATTGCTTGATCATGGGTATGGGATATAAGTCCCGACTCTTTTGGTTGGACTTGTATTTAAAAAACATATCCAATTATTCAATTTTATTATTACTTTAAAATGAGTTAAATGCCTATATTGAACATTATGCTACATAAAAGCATTACTTTACTCTAGAAGATAAAATAAAATGAATGCCCCGAAAAGGTCAACACCACCACGAAAGACTCTATCTCCATGTTGGTCACCCTTACACAACCTCAAGCGATCTATCACCCGGGGCCAGGTCCCCAGTTACGTATTCCCTACAGAGCCTTCCTTTTTGAATGATGAGAACACCCCCCCCCCCCCCCCAACCCAAACACACACACAAGAACAACAACAACAATTATCAAGAACCTTCTATCCTCCCATCATATATGGCAAGCCTTCTGCACACAAGAGGAAGTGCTAGAGAATGACATGCACCACGGAATAGATGAAACCTGCTTTGCATCTCCCAGTGAGCTTTGCTCTAAAAGCCCCTGTTCAAGACTAGCTGCTTCCCACGGTTAGATCTAGTGACAACACCCAATTTTTCCGATTTGGAGGTTCGATCTATGATTTATCATTCATGGACGTTGATAAGATCCTTCCATTTAGCAGCACCTTAGGATGGCATAGCCTTAAAGTAAGTTAAGGGCGAGGGGTCAACATATAATATAATCTGAGAAAAATAGCTTAGAGCAGTGTCCATGTGTCCTTTTGTTTGGAGATTTGACACATCTAACGCACGGATACATTCCCATTAGGGATGCAACTTGGGCGGGCTAGCCCAGCCCAACCCGAGTCCAGCACATAAATTTTAAAATCTGGATATATAAATTCACAATTCGGGTTTAAGTCGGGTTGGGTTTTTTCAAAACCCAACCTTACTTGGTTTGGGCTAGGTTCAACCCGAACCCAACCCGAAAGCCCAAATTAAACATTTCATTAAAAAAAAAAAAAAATATCCACGAGGAAGACGAGGGTCAGGCGGTTGAGGAGCTCTTTGACCGGAATGGTCACTTCTCCGACGTCTTTGTCGCCAAGGGTACGCTCGCAACGGAGGTTGAAGACGAGGGTCTGGCGGTTCTGTCGAGCAGCCGACTCGTCTATGGTGAATTTCACGGGGAAGTTCTAGGTGGGGTTGTCGTCGCCGTCTCTGTCGATGATGGTCTTTTGCTTGGTGCTGTAGTCGCCGGCAATCGAAACGATGACGTACACGTCCATCTTGGTGATAAAGTTGACTTTCTTGAGGTCTTTTGCGGAGACAACCTTGATTTCTAAGGTACGGTACTCCATATTGATTAGAAACGACAGATCGACGGAGAGAGATATACTAGAAGATATATACAGAGAGAGAAAGAGAGTTTTAGAGAGAGAGAGAGAGAGAGAGAGAGAGGCGGATGTAGCAGAGAGGGATATGCCCAAATGCCAAACCCAACACTTATCGTGGTTATTATTTACGAAGCAATTAAAGGTGAGGACCGTGAGGTAAACCCTTACAAGTCTGACCGTGTGGTCCGGTTAATGCAATGAGACGTAAACCATGGTTGGGTTAACTTGATTGGTGGTTAATTACTAAGTTTTAACCATGTTTAAGGACTTATAAGAATGTTTAATCCGAAGTTTGAACAATTCTAATGAATTTAGGTACTAGAAACCTAATAGTCTAGACTAGACGTCGTTATATATATATATACTTGATTTATATATATAATTCAAATATAAATATATACAAATCGATATATATATATATATATATTCAAATATCTATATATAATTGATTTGTATAATTCAACTATATATACATCATTACACTATTAAATTTATATATATATAAATCAAATACATATATATATATCTATATATAATAAAAAAAAAAAATTTAAAATATATATCAACTCGTGAACCCGACCCGACCCGTCCGAACATATTTGGTCCGCGTTATAACCCAACCCATGTTGGGTGCAATTCTGGTTGGACCAACCCAACCCGATTCGGGTTGAGGTTGGGTTGGGGCTGGGCTGGGTTGGGCCAACCCAAGTTGCACCCCTAATTCCCATACCCTACACACGTACATAAGTCCATGTAACAAAGACCAAAATATATGTCCATTAGGTTCGATCGATCGAACTAAATTGTACACTCCTCCATCGATTAACACTTCATCGATGCGCTCTGGATTCGAAAGAAAATTTCAGTCTTAAATTTGATTGAAACAAACTTCGATTGGAAAGAGTTCGATGGATGCACATTGCTCTACAGTTTTAAACTTCAAATTCGAGTTTCAAAAAATGACTGGATTAAAATGTTTGTGAGGATTTTGTAGTAACCAACACACATCAATGGAATATTTCTATAACTTATTGAACAGAATACTAGAATTTGGACATGGTTTGAATGGTTGAGGATGTTTTAGAAGAGGATCTGTTGCTTTGAAGTGCAAATTGCCTGTTTTGTCTTTTTTCACGCACAGTGCTTGTGTGTGCATATGCTTCTGGTCTTATGTAATTGAAATGAAAAATATAATTTTATTTAATGAAATGTAAATTGTACAGCAGATGCTAATGCTACAGATATTGATATTTTTTCCTCTATTTTTAGAAATTTTTTCTTTCAGATACTTTTGACAGGAATAGAAAGACATTGCTTTAATATTATTTGTGGAGTTGGTCTTTTTTAATGTTGTGCGTACTACAAATATTTTTGTATTTTTATAATGCAGTGATTTTGTTATGATAAGGTAGATAACTGTAATCACACCAGAAAAGGGGTGGATAATTGTAATTTTTTATCCTACATAGTACATAGAGAAATTGATGTCAAATGGATGATTGTGTTTGACAACCTTTGGTGGATGGTATGCAATGGTGGTGCAAATTTTTGAAACTGAAATGATTCCTTTTCGTTTCTGTTCATTAGTAAATTTTAGAGTCGTCAATTTTTTTTCATAATTTTTTAGAGGAGTCATTGCTTGGTGCAATGGTAAAATTTGGGCTGCCAATTGTATTAATGCAGATTTGGGTGTAAGTTCAGTTACGTTGTGCAACTAATTCAAAGGTTAGATCTGCTCTCAGCCTGCTCTTCCCAATACGTCCATTTGACGTGGATTAACATTGGTAATTGTCTTCTGGTTAGTCAATATATCTTATCGTTTCGTGTCCTTCGGTTATAAATATTCCTCTTTTTCATAAACTGCTAAAATTTGGCTTAACAATTTAGTTAACGAATTAAGATATGATACAGAATAATTCAGTTATCA